ATTCTGGTAAACCGTTGAGTTTCAAAAATCGTTCCATCTCAAACACTTCCTCAGGCCCTTGTGTATACAACTTTTTGAAGTATTTCTGGAAACACTTTCTAATTTCACCTGGTTTCTGAATATTTTTCCCTTCCACCTCTAGATTGGTAACGTAGTTAAGTTTCTGTCTTTTTTTCAACTGCCATGCCAGCAGTTTCCCACATTTATTCGCTGACTCAAAGGATCTTTGTCTCATTTGTTTAATTTTCCATTCCACTTCTTGATTTATCAATTTCAAATATTGTGCCTGATGGAATTTAATTTCTCGCAAGATCTCTTTTGATTTTGGTTTAGATCTCAATCTTCTCTCTCCGTCTCTTATCTTCTCTAATATTTTATCCTTTTTCCCATTCCAGAGTTTTTTCTTAATTGTGTTTTGTTGTATCAGAAACCCCCTCATTACAGCTTTACTAGCGTCCCAGATTGTTCTTTTTTCCACTGAAGTGTTCAAGTTGATTTCAAAGTAGTCCTTTAAAGTTTTTTGGGCCTTCTTTACAATCTCTTGATCTCTAAAGAGGGTGTCATTCATTTTCCATCTGAAGGAGCCGGCTGGAGTAAGTCTCAGTTCCATTTTCAGGGCGTTATGGTCGGAGCAAGTCTTTGGGCAGATTTCCACTCTTATAGTCTTTGGTGCCAGCCCTCTAGTTGTCCAAATTTGGTCGATTCTTGTCCATGACAAGTGGGCCTCAGAAAAGAAAGTTCCCTCTCTACCTAGGGGGTTCCTTGTCCGCCAAATGTCGATCAAATCCATATTGTCAGTTAGTTCAAAAAAGGTTTTTGGTAGTCTGCCGTCCTTAGTTAGATTCTGGTTCTGTGACTTATCCATATAGGTAGAGACCACCCCATTCATATCTCCCATCATAATGATGTTGGAGTAATCCAGATAGTCCAGTAATATCTCATGCAGCTTCTTGTAAAATTCTGATTTCCCCTCATTTGGTGCATAAATTCCTAATATCAGAATTTTTTCTCCTTGGGTTTGTATTTCAATTGCCAGAATTCTTCCTTGTTCATCTTTAAACAAAAATTTCGGTGCTAGGTTCTCCTTTGCGTAAATCACCACACCTCTCTTTTTAACACTGTCTGATGAAATAAATTCTTGGCCTAATCCTTTATTAATTAATACTTTCCTATGGAGCCTAGTCACATGAGTTTCTTGCAGGCAGATTATGTCCAAATGTTCTTTTTTCAAAATATGAAAAATCCTTTTGCGTTTTTCTGGGGAATTTGCGCCATTAATGTTCCAACTATATAGCTGCAGAGACATCCTGTATCAATCTGTTGTTGCTTTTTATGGGGTGTCTTCTTTCTTGTCCAAGTCCGAGGGTGCTGGTTCTTTCCCAAGTTGTGGTGTAGGCCAAGGAACTGCTATTCCCTTCTGCAGGTCCTCTCCGTGGTCGTGTAGGAACTTCTGGCTGTCCTCTCTCGTTTTAATTTTAACCTTCTTTCCTTTGTGTTTAAATGACAGACCTTGTGGAAACTCCCACCTGTAAGGTATCCCGTTGCTTCTCAAAAGTCCAGCTAGGTCAGTATAGTTAGCTCTGAGATCCAGCAGTTGTTTAGGGATATCCTTGTAGATTTCTGCTCTTCTGTCCTGGATCTCAAGTGATTTGTTAAAGTGGAGGTCTAATATTTTGTCTCTCTCCTGTTTGGTCCTTAGAATAATCAAACAATCTCTGGGCCTGTCCTTCCTGGCAACTCTTCCCAGTCTGAACGCGGTTGTTATTTTAAAATCTTTGTCTTCGTTTATACCCCAGAATTTAGAAAATTCTGTTGTCAGATAGCCGGTCAGATCCTCTTTCTCGAGCTCCGGGATAGAGCGTAGTCTTAAATTATTTTCTCGATTCCTCAATTCCACCATAGACAGATAGGCCTGCTGGTCACTGACGTGCTTGTGTAATGGCCTTACCTCTCCTTTCAGTTCGTCCACTTTCTGAATTGCTTGGTCAGCTTTCTCATTTGCAGCCTGGGCCAGTTTCTGGTTCTCAGAAGTGGCGTCTTTCAAGTTTCCAATTGCTTGTGAGTGCTGAGCCACTTGTTCAGATAATTTAGTAATTGTGGATGTGGCTAAATCAATTTTTGCTGTTTGGTCATCAACCTTCTTATTTAAAATTGCGAATTGCTGTAACATTTCATCTAGAAGGGTGCCAGATCCCCCTGCTGCCATATCCTCAGTTGTTGGCTGTTCAGCTTCCTTGGATGGAGCTGTTGTTGAAGGTACAGCTCCCTGTAGAACAGCAGGGACTGAAGATCTGCGAGACTGGGAAGTCAAAGTTGTTTGTACAAGTTGGCCTTTCCCTGCTTTCGACGCAGCTCTTGTTTTTGGATGGCCGCTCATACCACAGCTGTCTATGGGTCAAGGTCAAGCTGTCAAATATTCCATGGGAAAGACAGTCTCCAAAGTAGATAACAAAACAGCAGAGAGTCAAAACAAAGTTAGTTCCCAGGAGTTTGTAAATCCAAAGCTCCACTAGGTGGAGTGTTGTTACAGTTCAAAAGTAAAGGAAGAAAGTTTTAGTCGCCATTAAAGTTCCAACAGACCAATAAATTAGCCATAGTCCTTAAAACTTTTCCACTTGCAGAGCCCTTTCAAAGCTGCCACAAAAGTCTCATCTGAAGGTGCAAGATACAGTTGCTTAATTGTATCATCCAATAGAGCCTCTATGTATCTGTTTCACTTTATAATTTGTATCCGCAAAAGCAACCCTTCTCCCCTGCCAGCCCGGGGCTGGGTTTTAAAAATTTTTGAAGTCCACCAAAGGAGAAGGTTTCCAAATTATATTAGCACATTAACATAAAGAAGATAGAAAAAACTTGCCTTTCCTTTCAATTGCCAGTTCCACCAGACGCATACTTCTCAATTTAAAATCCCTTTCTGTTGCTTCCAGCCTGTCAGTTCCTTTGTCTTTGATCTCTAAGCACTGCCGGGGGACGGACTTCCTTTTACTCGTCCCCCGCTTTCAGCCACATTTATAATTTGTAGTTCCAAAATGAGATATTTCTTACTCACGAGTAAGTAGTTTAGAGTCCAAATTTCAAGGAAGAAAGGTCGGCGCTCATCAGCAGCAGCCGCGCGGCTTCGCTCCTGCAGAAAGAGCGATGTACTCTCAGCACCGCTTCCCCTCCGCGCTTCCGGAGCCCCTTACGGGGTCCCTTCTTCGTTTTGGGGGTCGCTCCAGGTGCCCGCCGAGTCCCACGGCCACGAGCTCACTCTGCTCGTGGTTTTTCTTAATGGATCGTCGCTGTGCCGTAGCGAACGATCCTTTCCTGCAGAGCCCCTCTTCAGAGACTGAAGAGGACCGCCATTGCTAGTTTCGCGCCGCCTCCGGAAGTCAAGACACACCTAGTTTTTAGAGGGGGGAAGAAAGAAAAAAAAAAATTCTGCGCAGAGCATGTAAGCGGCTCTTGCTTTTCTTGCTTTAAACCCTTCCATCCCTCAAGCCCCCAAGAGCTGTACACACACTAGGTGCAGCTCTTTAAAGAGCGCACGGCTCTTGCTGGCTTTTCCGGGAGGTGGGGGAAGGGACAGAGGGCAGCCCGTCAGTCCCTTCTCCCTCCTCGGGGAAAAGCCCCCAAGAGCCACACACAAGCTCCACGCAGCTCTTCAAAAGGAGCGCTGAGCAGAGCCTCCTGCCTGCATTCACGTCATAAGATGCACACACATTTCCCCTTACTTTTTAGGAGGGAAAAAGTACGTCTTATGGAGTGAAAAATACGGTATATGTTTTAGCCTGCGGAACAAATAACATAAGGTGGTGGGAGATTCAGTCAGGAAATTGTTATAGAGGAAATGATTATTACATTCATACCCCCCCCAAAAAAACAACAACACTGTTCTGATTTAAATCCTTCCCCAATCACTATTCCTTTTAAGTACCTCCTTTTAAAAAAAATAACTATCCTATTTACAGATCTCTTCTGTCACATCTGCTTTGTCCATTTTATGTAAACATAAAGAAACACTGAATGATAAGTAGTTCTTTATTGGACAAGAACAACAATTCTGCAGCACACCAAGTGAAACATTATTTGGCTTTATTTATCTATTTGTAAATATTTTTCCTAAGGCAAATTCATGTTTGCAATGGGTTTATAAGACTTAATTGAAAAAGCTGGCAGAGGCCTGTCAGAATCCTATAGTCTCCAGACTTCATATAAAGTATTTGGCAGTCTTTCAACAAAGCCAGATTCCTTGTCAGAGTTGATATATTTATCAAACACAGCACACGCATTTTGCATCAGTGACTATAAAAATTGATCCCTGCCACTTGCCTTATTTCCGTAGAACTCCAGAATTAAAACAGGAGGGGATAAAATAATGAAGCATTGCTTTGTTTTTAAATTTCATCTCTTAGGCAAACAAGCACGCTGATATTAAGGAAATTGAAAATACCTCCTTTAAATAAATAAATAAATAAAAACCATCAAGTAAAGAAGTCACAATGCATATTAGCTGAGCTGCTGAAATTACCAATTACTTTTTAAAAGGATTTGAATTCCATGGATGACAGAAAATAGCTCAATAGAGACAACTGTTTTCAGACACTTGCTTAATTTTGATACCTCAGAGCCAAATAAAAGGTCTCATTGGTAGGAAATTATATCTAAGTACATTAAGCAAAAGGCATATTTGGTCCAAATACAGAGTGGAAATTAAATCAAATGTTTTCATCCTTTTTCTCAGGTACAGTGCCACAGGTTAGCTGCAATTTAAATATTGCACTAACTCAAGACACCCAACATTGATTTATGATTGTGGAATATCTGCAGAAGGTGGTCTGGTGATGATGCTTCATACACTTCATAAGCACTCATCAATTTTAATTTCTGTTCTCAAGCCTGGGTGCTCTTGTGATTCCTTCACTGAACCTTCCAGTTATGTATTTTCCTCTCATGTTTAAGGAGGGAAAGGTTTATTATCTACATAATAGACTTCTCTTAAAATCACACCAAGTGTTAGTATGAAATGTGCAGAAGTGTTCAATGAGCTGAAAGTACAGTCAGTTGAAAACTGCGCACTGTCATATCACGGCCACCAAACGCACCATTCCAAGGAAAGGGACAATGTTGGAAGAGGTGCTGACTCTTGGGTGCATGGGCCAATTAAAGACCAGTCTGTCCCAATCTGCAAGGGGAGGCGACTACATCTGTCCCATTCTGTGCAGATCTTCAAGGGAAAATACAAATGGGAAGTCCAAGATCATGTTCAATCAATACATAAAAGTACCTGCAAGGCAGTCCAAGGTCTGTAGCATTGCCCCTCTTCTTCTAAAAGAGATTTCTATCCTTTAAACTTGTAAAAATTGCTACTCCAGAGGCCCACAGCCTGAAGCAAGTAGCACATGTGGCTTATTGCCACTGTCTGCTTTGAATGCAATAAAACACATACATCCTCAGAGTGACAGAATTGGTGAAGTTGCATTGATTTGGGGGAGAATGGGCCAGGAAAAAAAAACACGGCTGCCCCCTGTTAAGAAATGTTCAAAGAGCTGAAAGTACAGTAGGCTGAAAATGTGCATTATCATATCACTGTTCCACTCCTTGTAAAGGGAAGAGGTGATGACCTGGAACCGTAAAATAATCTTTTGCTGCAGATATTTAGAATCCACGCATGCCAGGCTCACATTCCTGGCTATGGCAGATGAAGTCATAGAATTGTAGGATTGTAGGATCATAGATTTCACTACTGGGAAAACCATAGTTAAAGCTATTGTTTTCCCAGTAGTGATGTATGGAAGTGAGAGCTGGACCATAAAGAAGGCTGATCACCGAAGAATTGATGCTTTTGAATTATGGTGCTGGAGGAGACTCTTGAGAGTCCCATGGACTGCAAGAGATCAAACCTATCCATTCTGAAGGAAATCAGCCCTGAGTGCTCACTGGAAGGAAAGATCGTGAAGCTGAGGCTCCAGTACTTTGGCCACCTCATGAGAAGAGAAGACTCCCTGGAAAAGACCCTGATGTTGGGATAGATGGAGGGCACAAGCAGAAGGGACGACAGAGGATGAGATGGTTGGATAGTGTTCTCGAAGCTACCAGCATGAGTTTGACTAAACTGTGGGAGGCAGTGGAAGACAGGAGTGCTTGGCGTGCTCCGGTCCATGGGGTCACGAAGAGTCGGACACGACTAAAACAACAACAACAAGGATCATAGAACTGTAGAGTTAGAAGGGACCCAGAGGGTCATCTAGTCCAACCCCCTGCAATGCTGTTGGTGCTGCCACCCA